CAGCAAGCCTCATTGGTGTTGAAGGAGGTAACGCCACCCGCATCGGAAGGTTTGCCAACTACCTGAGGAACCTCCTGCCATCCAATGACCCCATTGTCATGGAAATGGCCTCCAAGGCTATCGGGAGGCTGGCCATGGCTGGTGACACCTTCACAGCTGAGTATGTGGAGTTTGAGGTGAAACGAGCTCTGGAATGGCTGGCAGCTGACAGGAATGAAGGTCGAAGACATGCAGCTGTAAGTGGGCTCTGCTGTGGTTTTTTTTCCTCAGCAGTCTTGGAATGGATCTTGAGAATTAGTTAACAGAGGTAGGAAACGTGCACAGAAAGCTGCAGAAAAGCTCTAGTCAGAATCAAAATGGCTGCCAGTCCTTTTCTGACAATCTGTGATGCTCTCATGGCAGATATGGTGCTGCTTCATTGCTTCTATCTTAGCCCAGTAACTAAAGAGGATTGAGACACCTTTGTGCGAAGAACTGTGAAGGTGTGGAGCTGGACACTGTTAGTGTCAGGCTGGCAAACACTGACAGGCTAAATAAGTGATACTACAGTCTGGAAATGATGACTTTTGCCTTTGGGTGCTTCTCCTCACAGATTGCTGCTGTTTCTCTCCCCACCTCCAGGTTCTTGTCCTGCGTGAGCTGGCAATCAGTGTGCCTACCTTCTTCTTCCAACAAGTCCAGCCATTCTTCGACAACATATTTGTGGCTGTGTGGGATCCCAAACAGGCCATCCGGGAGGGGGCTGTTTCTGCCTTAAGAGCCTGCCTTATCCTCACCACTCAGCGGGAGCCAAAAGAGATGCAGAAGCCCCAGTGGTACAGAGTAAGAAAATAACTTTGTTTTGAAGCAGCTCTTCCTAATGCAATGCAAATGATTTAAGTGCCAGTTTTTAGAAGAGCTGCCTAAGCTAAGAACCTCTGTCACCTTTGTCAGTATGTCTGATTGTTAGTAGATTGTCCCCTCAAAAGGACTGAAAATCTAAGGGCTTACAAAGTGAGTAGTTCCTTTAGCCCACTGGAAAAGTGAGCAAGAAACTTAACTCCACCAAGAAGCCATTGCTTTATCTGCAGCTGGTTTTCAGCTGTTGAGCCTGACATAGCTTTACAGCCATGCTATCATCTATCTATTGTCATCTCTTACTAGCAGATGGTTTTATTGTTGTGGATAAAACATGGGTGAAAAGGATAACAGTTCTTTTGTCTGAACCTTAGCTTTGCTGCTGTTGTCACATGGATTCAAGCTGCATAATATGAAATAAGGTTTGGGCAGTGCAGTCAGATGATATCAACTTGGATTCCTCAAAGTTAAACATGTGATACAGATACTGGTGAAGTTTATACCATGGCATGATTGAATGGCTATTTGATTAGTGCAGTTGACAATGTTCTGCAGCAGAGCCTGGGTGGATCTAAATTTTGTGGTGTCATAATCTGTTGTTACTCAGTTGAGGTTTTTTGGCTACTATTGGAAAATTAGAGGACATCAGTAAGTCTTGACTGACAGTGCTAGGTTATTTGCATAGGCTATGTTTCTGCACAATCACTGAGATCTTTTTTTCTTTTCCCCCAGCACACCTATGAAGAGGCTGAAAAGGGCTTTGATGAGACTTTGGCCAAAGAGAAAGGAATGAACCGTGATGACAGAATCCATGGTGCCTTACTGATCCTCAACGAGCTAGTGAGAATCAGCAGTATGGAGGGAGAGGTGAGCAAATGAACAAGATGAGGATTATGGCTTTTGATTGCCAGATTGATTAACATTGTGATTGAAATGGGCTTGAAAAGTCAGCTGAACATGGAGTCAGAGCACTGATTATTACAAACTGAAGTATGTGGACTAATTACAATGAAAAACAATTTTCAATAGAATAATGTGTTGCATGTTAGAAACCTAAATATTTTTGCTACATCTTGTTTAGTTGATACTTTACAGCCACTGGGATACAGTATATTGCTCTGGAGACTTGGGTATCACTGTCTTGGGAATTTCTTATTCAACTACTTTTTGAAAAAACCCTTGTTTTTCTACTTTGTCCAGCGCCTTAGAGAGGAGATGGAAGAGATCACTCAGCAGCAGCTTGTGCATGACAAGTACTGCAAAGACCTGATGGGCTTCAGTACCAAACCTCGCCACATCACTCCCTTCACCAGCTTCCAGTCTCTCCAGCCCTCTCAGTCAAATGCCCTGGCTGGTCTCCTGGGGTACAGTGCCCACCAAGGTATCATGGGCTTTGCAACCTCACCTGTCCCAGCCAAGTCTACCTTAGTAGAAAGTCGATGCTGCAGGGATCTAATGGAAGAGAAGTTTGATCAAGTAAGTGTTTGTTCTTCAACTTGTCTACCAATATGCACAACACTGATACTTTTAGAGCAATTGTGCTTAGTGTCCTTACTTGGCAGGCAATACTGCCTAGTACTGAATTGGTTAAATGTATCCTGGCTTTGTCACTGTCCCTCTTAGAGCAAGAGAGTTTCTTTAGAAGCAGTCTTAATTATCCATCGTTCTGATGGACTCTGAGGCCAAATGTAAGGAGAATGCCTTAAAGCACCCAGGCAATGGCCATCCTTCAAAGCCCTATCTATCTTCTTTCAGGTGTGCCAGTGGGTTCTCAAGTGCAGAACCAGCAAAAACTCTTTGATCCAGATGACAGTTCTCAACCTGCTACCACGGCTGGCAGCTTTCCGTCCTTCAGCATTCACAGGTGACAAGACAGATGGTTGGATGTTAGAAATGTTGCTGAAACTGAGCTGGAAGTTATCCAGCTCTCTCGGGTCCAGATGAGCTTGTGCAGGCAGTGCAGTGGTACCACTGTGGTGCTTTTGAGATGAGCAGATTCCTCTG